CCGGCATTTCCTTTCCTTCCAAAGGAATAGGGCCCAGTCCAGCCTCACATCGACCCATCGCCCAACCTCACTCACATTTGGCTATCCCGCCACGGCTGGCTGACAGACAGACACCAGTCTGACAGGAACCAGCCCCCCGGGACAGATGCCAGTCACACTTGGTAGCATAAATCCAAGAGCACCTACATCGTTATGGAGTACATCATCACCAACAACGACACATCCGGTGAGCGTCATGTCCTCACAACTCCCAGTCAACAACACCATGCCGCTCTCTACACAAGAGACCCTGGTCTCTGCATTCGCTATTCTATCTCTCGTCATCGTATTCCATCTCCCGAAGCTCACACATCCCAACACCGACATCTCCACTCTCGCAGGCCACGTCCTCAACTCCGTCTCTTACGTCTTCTCAGCTGTCCTCTCCCTCTTCCAGTCAGTATGGGAATGGATCTCTAACCCCATTTTCCACTCGCACGGCACCGGAGCGTCATCGTCCTTCCCAGCACACCATACAGATATCTCGCTCCTATCGGGTAGCATCGGGCTAATCTCCCACGTCCTATGCGTCGTTGTCTCCACTGGTACTGAGGCGGACGGCTCCGGGTGCGGGTATGTGACGCGGTTGTTCATCACGCTGAGGAGACAGTTGCTTCCCTTCGTGAGGCGCGGGGGGTTACATGCGCCTGAATCTTCGTCATTATCGGTCCTGGCGGGACTGCGGCTGCCGAGGTTGAACGCGAGTTACCTGGGAAAGCTGCCGGGGAAAGGGTCCGATGCCGGTGGCGGAGTTGCGATGTATCGGGGGGTATCCTTCGCCCAGCTGACAAGTTCGCCTTCGGCGTCAACACCGAGACGAGGCGACGGCCGCGTGGCTGGAATGACCGAGAGGAACCACAGGAGGGCGGTGCGGAGAGGCGTTGCGCCGAGTATCCCGAGACGGGAGTCGTCGTTGGGGAGGGTGCAGGCGATTGTGCCGGAGGGATGGAAGAGGGAGGGGAGGAACTGGGGGCGGTTCAACTTCCCGGAGTCGGATTTGGATTCGAGGCTGGTTTTTGGGACGGGGGAGGGGAGCGGTGGAGGGATTGCGGGTGGGTTGAGGAGGGAGGGGACGGTTTGACGGCGGGGATGATGATGAGTTGATGAAGCGATGATGATGATATGAGTCGATGCACAAGTGCATGATGAGCACGAATTGAATGGATTGGATGAATGGGATGGGCCTGTCAACGGATATTAGCTACGCCTCACGAAAGGAGTTTGGAATGGATCATGGTTACATACAAAAATACAGTCAAAGTCGGGTATACCGTCGAGTAATTTTCTCATGTTTATTCTCAGAGTCTCGCCACGGCGAGCTCACTTGCCCCCTGGCGCGGCGGTGATCTACTCAAGACATCAAGTCAGCTCAGCTCAACACGTAGTTGCTCTTACGGCCATCACTTACCTTCCCCCGTTCTGCGCCCGGGAGTCTCCGGGGTCTGAGTCGGCTCAGGGGCAGCCCCCTCACCGGCATCCGTCGTCTCGACAGCAACAGGTGCCGACGCAGCAGCAACTCGTCGAGCCTCCTGCTCCGCTTGACACTCAGCCCGCTCGCAGAACCCCCGGGTGCGCCTCCATCGCTTCATGCGATGCTGCTCGATCGTCGCGGTGTTGGAACCCCAGGGCTGGCGCCAGACGACGCTGAAGCAGGGGACTTGTGCTAGGACAGGATCGCCGATCTGATTGCCGCAGCCTTCGCAGATTTGTCGGGTGATGGTGTGGCACATTGTGAGGTTGGATCTTGTGGTGTTGATGAAGGTTGGTTGGTGAAGATGGAAATTTGGAGCCGTGTCTGGAAAAAGTCAGATTAGCTTTTTAAACGGTTTCCTTGGCCGTCTCAAGTTCGGGGCATAATTCTTTTGTTTCTTGTTTCACCGACCGTTCGGGTTCATGCATGGTTCCGTGTGGGACAAAGAGGCTGTTTTGCCGCTGTCAGAGGGGCGGGTGTCGCACAAAACAACAGGTGGGGGCTGGTTCTTCGGAATTCTGGGACAGGGATGTCATTGAGTTGGAAATTGATGAATGCAAGTTGACGGACAGAATTAAGATGGGGGCAGTCCGAGTGATTGGAAGGTGACTTGAAGTTGGACGAAGGTGGCCAAGACACGGCAACACACCAAGGTTGTTGGGGGATCATCTCGAGATCATCCCAAACACTTGAAGAGTATCAGATTAATGGGAATCGCGTCTTGATATGAACCCCAAAGAAGAGGGCAAACTACCTCCAGTAATCTAAGGCGCATCAACTCCAAGTTTCTCAGCGATAACCTCGGCTCTCATCGAGCCAACGACCGAAAAAGCAAAGCTATTCCCATTCGCAAACTTCGAAATCCGGATTTCCCATCCCAGCGAACATGATCTCAGCCACCCATCACCCATCCATCCCATTGCCCAAGTCCAGACTAGCCACGCCAAAAGAACTACCTTCTTCTGATGAAAAAAAAGTATCCTCCCAGACTACCACCGTGTCCAAATGAAGCGACATGAGGAGATGAGATAGAGTGACATGAAGGAGATAGGATGAGATGAGACATGAGAGAGTGCAAGATTAGATCTCGCCAGCAGCATCACCACTCTCAACCGAACTGTGGGTCTGGAAAGCCGCGGCCTCCTTCAAGATCTCCTCGTTCGTCACCGTCGGCTTCATGATGGCCTCAGCCTCCGAATCCGACTCCACCCTCGGAGCCAACTTCGCCACCTTGGGCGTACCCGCCTTCTTCGGCGCCGCGCGCTTGCGGGGGGCCTTGGTCGGCGTGGCAAGAGCAGCAGCGTCGCCCTCCTCGCCGTCCTCGCCATTCATGTTCTCAGCAGCGGCAGCAGGCTTCTTGGGGGTGGGGCGGGCGCGCTTGGCGGGGGTCTTCTTAGCAGAGGCGGGGCCGTCGGTGCCCTCGTCATCGTCGCTGGCCTTGCGCTTGCTGTTGGAGAAGGGGTTCATGACGGGGAGGGTGTTGCCCTCGGAGTCGATGACGGGGATGTTGCCGTGCTCGATGATCTTTTTGCGGATCGCGAGCCAGGCGTTGGAGGCGCTGCGGGGGTTGGTCATGCCGCAACGCGCAGCAAGCTGCTCGTAGTTGATCTGGGGGTGAGGTTAGGTTGGTGAGGTGAGGAGGGAAGGGGGGTGAGACAAAGGTGAGTGAGAATGGGGGGTGGGGTGGTACTTACGCTGGGAGCCGCCTCCATACACATGAAGGCGTTCAGCAGGATCTGCTGGTCGCGCGTGCTGAAGATGACGGGGGTGGCATCAGCGGCAGGGCCGTCGGTAGTCTTCTTGGGAGGCATTTTTTTGAGGTTTTCTGAGGGAAGAAAGAGTCAGTTTCAGCTTTGAGATTCCGTCTCAGTGTAAAGGACCAGGGCAGGAAGTGAGATGCGGTCTCAGGATTGTCTGAGACTGAAAGAGCGTGATAGCGTGAAGAATGTTTGAGGTAAAGAGTGCTGAAACAGGCAAGATGCAGGGCAAGGGGGACGAGCAAATACCTGAGACTTTTCAGAAAGGGAGACGCGAAGCTTGAGGAAGATGCAAAGGCGCAAAGGCAGTATGAAAGCCTTGATGTTTGGGAGTTGAGAAGTGGTTCAGGATGTGGGAGGTTGAGGTGTTGTGTGGTGGAAGACGCAAGTGGTGGAGGTGAATGGCTGCGAAGTGCAGAATGGTGTTTGGGGGAAGGAGGTAGAATGAAAACAAGCAAGGCAGAAATGTTTTTGTGTGAGGCAGACATCCACGCTGACAATATAATCGACGATGTTGCCAGGGCGAGGGCAGGGTGAGCCCCCACACAATAACATAGATGAAAATAAAGGCTCGGTTCTCGAATTTAGAACCGGGAAGGCGCGGCCTGAGCCAGGCACCCATTGACATCAGGGAGAGTAGCCGGAGAGCGCTTGTACCTGGCAAACTGGATGAAAATGAAACGAGAACTGTTTACTTACTGGTGAGGCTCTCTTGGTTGAAAATGCACGCTGGGATCAAAGAGGCGCAGCGGAGGCGAAGAAGCTGAAGTTGTGATAGGAGAATCGTGTCCGCGCGGTCAAAGTGAGACTAAATGGAAAATGACGAGCTTGAACTCGAAGTTGATAAAGAGCTCTAGCGGAGTGGAGTTGAAAGATTCCAGTCGGTCAAGATCGCAAAACGCGTGAGGTCCAAGTTGGTTGGGAAGTTCACAGTTGCCAAGAGGTGGCGGTGAGGGGGGCTGATGAGTTTCCGGAAACAAGCGGAATCACGCAGCCTTGTGCACGTAAGCACATCAATCTGGTAAGAACGAGGTGCGCCTGATTTGGCGACGCACCAATCCCAAAATGTGTTGTGGCGTTGTTGGCAAGCACTCCTGATCGTTCTTCCTGGGTATCCGTTCGATGCGATGCTGCATCCACGGGAAGGTTGCCAAAACTGCGTGTTCAAAACATCAGGTAGACCAGGAAGCAGATCGGAGAGCTCACCCTCAGCCAGCAGAATATCCAAACCGGAACTTCTAGTCCAGGACACAGCTGCGGAAAAGGGAACCGCGGTCAATGGATTGGGTCAAACCTATGTCGTTGCAGGGAGTGTTCTCCCCCATTCTATCCAGGCTGCCATTACGCCGTGACATCATTGCAGGGAGCGTTTTCCACAATTCTACCCAGGTTGCCATTACACCATGACATCGCCACATCTTCCTTCAAACTCCGGTTCGACGTGACATCATGTGGAGCAAGTTGTTACAGACTCAATCATCACAATCCAAGGCGTGGAAATGGAAGCCCCAACAGCGAGCCCGAAGCAGGAGAAACAATGGCAGGCTTGCATGCGCTGCAATCTTCTGCGACTTCATGCTGTGCAAGGGCTGAGATGTCTTCGTGGGTCTTTGTTGGGTCGCTTGCAGTCTTGGATTCCAGGAGTTTGGGGCACTTTCACACTGTTGCCAAAAAGATCCATCCCCGACCCACATGATGTGGAAAAGGGGGAGACGATGCAAAAATGAAACTGACGTCACCAGTAGGATTCGAACCTACGCCCCCGAAGGGACTGCCTATGCTGGTATAGCAGGGCAGCGCGTTAACCACTCCGCCATAGTGACTTGATTTGATGGTAAGGGTGCAGGAAATGCTGCTCAAGGTGGGACTGCATCGGCAACGCAGCAAATCCAGGCAGACAAAAAACTCCACGATTCATGCTCCCCCTTCGCGACCTGGAGTTCCGAGAATTATGACAGTAGAAGATAACCCGGGGCTGGGCTGAGCTGGGAGACATTGTTGTTTCGCGAGTCAGCCGCTTGATTGAGTCTTCTGTCTGAGAGCGAAACCCAACCAAACGAGAGCTTTCTTTCACGCCAACGCAACACGGTGGCAGGAGCTTTGCAGAGTTACAGGACATTTAAATAGATCTATAAGCCGTCCCCAACTCGTTTGGAGACATCGTTTCCATGCATTACCAGGAACCACCCGAGCTGTCTCTTTCTGTTGCATGTCTCCCGCCGTAACTGAGCCACAACAGACTCAAACTACCAGCACTACTAGCCCTCAGACATCATCAGTACCACCACCATGATCATCTCTCGCCATTACGCCGACGGCTTCAACTTCGAAAAGCTAGGAGAGTACTGCAAACCCGACGATACCGGCAATCCAACCCTCTGCGATACAACCCGCCGCACTCTGATCGCCCTCATTCTCATCGGAACTCTGCTCGTTCTCGTCGCTATAGGCTGCATCTGCAATGGCAAATCCCGGGCAAAGTTTCGCCAGTTGCGGGAGCGCTGGAAGGAATCGAAGAAACAGTCAGGGTCGTCAACTTCGTCCCCAGATAACGGCCCTGGGGATGCAGTATGAGATGGGGGTGAAGCTGGATCATGCAGCATAACCTCGCCGGGGCAAATGCAAGAGGGCTACAGTTCCAAATTTGGATCGAATATGTATTGGAAAGCGTTGGGTTTGAAGATCATAGCGTCATCTTGACATCGCGTGTCTAGGGAGGAGGGTTCAGATCAGGGGTGGTGCATGCAACGTCGTGGGTCGGATCTATAACAGAGTGCAGATACAACATCGACCAAATGCGGAACGCAATTGTGACAAATCCAAAGAAGACTATTTTCGATGGTGGATCAAGACTACCTCTCGCTCGAGGTCTCCTAGGTTTGCAAGGAACAATGCCGAGAAAATTAGAGTGCAGCAAAGCGTGAAGCATAAAGCCTTTGTTCTTGCCACGTACTGATGCCCATGAACAAACAGACAACCATCCAGTCCTGTCCGACCAGCATAAATACTTCATTCGGCCTCGTTGTTCTTGAATTTCCCCCAGGCCACCCCTGACGGTTTATCACATCACCCGCTGTAAGTTCTCATCTTTTTACACACCTCAGCCTGGAGACATGGCGCCCCACAATATCCCCCCCTTTTTGGTAAACCCCCTTCCGGGAACCATGTCGGTGATTCTTCCCCGTGGAAACGAGGAAGGTCTCGACATCGAGTACTGCAAAAGCTACGACGGGGATGCCGGTAAATGCGCTGGTGGCATAGTCCTGATATTCGTCGCCATCTGCGCTGGAATCACGGTAATCGTACTCCCCTGGCTTTTCCTCTGCTCTGGACGATGTCGCCGCGCTCTTCTTGGAGTTGAGAATAGTGTGCGGGCACGGGCCGGGAGTCCGGACGAGCACGCCGTTGTCCCGGTTCCGGAGGGTACTGTGACTTACTTGAACTTTGAGGCAACACCGCCTTCGATTTCGCGTGCTGGTTCAAGTGAATCAGCTCCTTCGGTACCCCTTCCTGCATACTTTGGAGGTCTTCCACCGATTGAGTCTTTGCCTACCATCAGCCTTGATGGCCTTTCGCGTCCAGGGACGCAAGATGGGGAGCAGGTTAGGAGACTTTGCTAGAATATTATAACACAAGGAGTTTAAATCAGCACCTGGAGGAAAGTAACCAATAGCTCAACCAACGAACATTTGTTCGAACACGACTCCCCTGAATTTAGAACATGTAGCACATTACCTTGAAATTGACAGCGTGAATGGCCTTTCCCTTTGGCGCTGAACATCTTAGGGACCACTTTTTCCTGAGCCCAAGAAGTTAGCACTTACTAGCACTCTCTACTGTGAATGAATTGCACGACACAGAGGGAATGCTGATCATATGTGACTGGACTGCCTCGTTGTCAAAGCCGAGAGTGAGGCCTCCTAGCGTATAGCAACGGAAAATTGACACGAGGCAGTCACTGAGCGTATAGAGAGTGAGATGGAACAACTTGAACGGAGGTGGTAGTAACACAGTACAACGAGAGATAGGTCACCAAAGGTGGAGGATTGTGTCCTTTGTTGTCCATCAATTCTTTGTCATCAACTCGGTACTCAACAACACATTCAGCGAGACAATGACTCTGGTTCCAGACATTTCTACGCTCGAGCAGCGGCTTTTTTGGAATTTGAAGGGGACGGGAATAAAAACTCGGGATGGTCAACTTCCTGACGATCTCTTGTCACAGCATCAGCCCGCAGATCAGCAACTAACCAGACAGGTTCCCCCTTTTCTTCGCTTCCAAAACTTGCCTCCAGACAGAGAAAAACAGAACGTCCCCAAGTTTCTCCTTTCGGGCCCACTCGGCAAGGAACCAACCCCCACCTCAACTTTCGCACACAAGAAGCCCAAGCAGCAACAGGGGATCCCCCTTCAACCACCAAACTACAACCACCATCACGATGAACACCCCTTCCCCCACCTTCGACTTCTACGCCCCCAACCTCACAATCCCGGAATGGGATCCCGCCGGCACCCACCGGCAAAACCCCACTCCCACCCCTACCCCGGCCTCATCCGGTGAAGTCTTCCACTTCGGAAAGTCTTACTGCTCGGACTCGGACTACGTCTTCAGCTTCTGCTTCATGACCGTTGTCGCCTGGTTCTTCATTGTGGTCGCCATCATTGGCGTTGTCTCCATGATTGCTTGGTTTCTCAAGCGTCGCTTCTTCCACGAGAAGAGTTGCCAGGAGGTGATGGAGATGTGTGGCTGGCGGCGACGGCGGGACCTGGAGGCTGAGGGTGATGTGGAGAGTCAGGTTGGGGCTGCGGCGGTGCCGGTGTCGGTGCAACCGGTTGGGCCGCCGTTTCCGATTGCGACGGCGAGGAGTGTGGCGATGGGGATGCAAATAAGGGGGGTTTGATACCCTCGTGTTTGTCAATTCAATTGCTGGAGGCAGGCTGCTGCTGAACATGATATGATACAAATAGAATGAATCATCTCTAAACAACTTGTGTTCCTTTTGAGACATGTGCTAGAATTGATATTGGTGATTTGAATGGAGGACGTTGAGGCAACAGAACATGAAACTTTTCGTCTCGACTCAAAACTGATAGCAACATCTTGGCATTCAACATAGTCCTTTTCTAGAGGTAATTTCCAACACCCATTGTAGTTAGTTCCGCGCAAGCGATGTGCAACAGTCTTCATCACGTAACTTCCTTGTGATGTCGACCATGTGGAGGATTGGCCTTCAGACCGCGCAGTTGACTGAGTTTTCTATTGTCTTGCTTTGTCACAGTTTTGAAAGAACTTGATTGTGGGTCCCATACTACAATTGGACGTGGCTTTGTTTCATGACGCAGACAAAGACTTTGGATACTAAGTTGTGTAACTTTGGAACAGTTACAGAGACGCCGTTCAATGTTCTCCATGAGTCTGGAAGTGAACCACACGGAATAAAAAGGAGAGAGTGCAGCCTTGAGCAATATTTGATCCTGCCATCCAGTTTCACAGGTTATCATCTCACATCACCAAACATCCCATCTCACATCCCTCTGATAGATAACTTGCAACATACCTAACACTCAACGCTACAAGCATGAACTGGAGCGCCCCCCAAGACACCGGCTTGAACATCGGTCACGTCACTGCCTACTGCGCCAAATCTGGCCCTGAGAGCCACACCGGCAGGTGCGGGCTGTCCATTTTCATCTTCATCATCATTGGTTTTGGGTGTCTTTTCTTCTGCTATGGCCTCAAGTTCCTTTGCTGCGGGATCTGGGACCGGAAGGTGAAGAAGTGGCAGCATGAGGATCTGGAGATGGCGGTTGAGCGGCGGCGGGAGGCTGGGGAGGATATTCCGCGTTATCCTCCTCCTATTTTTGTCCCGCTTTATACGCTGCATTGATCTAGGCCTGGGACTGGCTGGATTGTTGCCTCTAGGCATAGTGTTTTCCTAGACAATGGGAATTGTTAAGGGATGCTCCTGTTGAGACACTTCTAGGTGTTAAACAATGAATAAATATTGTAATACAAAGATATAAAGAAAATAACTTGGGTTTTGTAACTGCCTACTACGTGACTTACACAGAGACTAACCCTCACTTGAGATATGGAGTTTCGTTATTTCGGACCCAGCTGACAGTGCCAAGGGGCCCCTGACCCCTGTTTTTGACTTGACCGTCACAGCCAAGACTGCTAACCAGTGCCTTAAATTCTATCTGGACTTGGCTCAGATCCAACGCGACGGGGAGAGATTTATGGGAGCATTTGTGCGGAGTGTGATGTTGTTTGGGGCTGACATGCTGTTCAGCACCACCACGAAAAGGGGTTATTGTTTACAAAAGTGGAGAGGGTTCGGTTCTCAGCGCCGCAACGCCTTCAATCAACTTCATGCTTCCATACCTTTGGCGTCGCAGCCAAGGAGACTCCAGTGCTGGGGAGAATGGTTCCGAATCAAGATTAACCGGAGCGATAGAGCTCAGAGTCGTCCTTCCTCGTTGTATCTGGACCAAAGGAGAAGATAGAAGGTGCTGGTCCACTTCTAGTTCTCTCCACTCCCTGGAATAAATACCCAGAGATCCAATGCCCCACTGTAGCTCGTAACTACTCATCTGAGCCGAAGAAGGAGCATCAAGACTCCGAAAAGCCATGGACGACAACCCCTTTGACGATAACGGCATACCAGGCAGCGTCAACACCCCCAAGGGTGTTGAAGTGTCCGTTCAGCATGTCACACCAAGTGCCTTTCCCGACGCAAAATCCCGTCTTGCACACGCCAAACCCGCCTTCGAGCAGATTCTGAAGGGAATGAATTGTGTTGATCCCTCTGCTATCCCTGAT